TTATTAGCATCGAGCAAATGGCAAGCTTTGCCTGCCGCTTCAAGATCTCTTATAAAGTACGTCGACGTGTTAAGTGAAAGAAGTGTATAAAAAGTATTATCTAATCGAGAATCAAATCTACGTTAAAGAAAAGCTTTTTTTTAAATAGCCTCAAGTCCATAATCTCGCGGTACCCGCGGTATTGCGTAACCTTTATAACTTTTGAAAGCATTTTAAGTTGATATAGCGCAGCTATTATCGATTGTGCTTTTCTTTTACGGATGAAATAAATCGTGAAACAATAGATACCTTTATATAAAAAGAAACTTGATGAGCAAGCTATAATTCAAGTAACGTACTACGTTCCAGGCGTAAGTATTACTCCCTGAGGGTACTGTTGTTGTTGTATTTATTAACGTCGGGCGGGTATCCAAAACGCAACTCCCTAAGGGTAAGGTAACCAAAGGGTTTATAGTAGAAACTAAACATTTGAGGCACCCTTAAAGGGGGTCGATTATTTCCTATGCCTCGAAGAAAGTGGAGTTGTATTTCCTATGCCTCAACCCACTTTTTAAGTAGGCCCGCCCAGCTAAATCTACTCGCTGCTCTATACAAGAAAATTTTTTCAGTAATGCCGCTTATACTAAAATTCTATACAATTGCAATTCTAGTATTATTATCGCGTTTTGTTTAGCTATAATAGCGGAAATCCTTATTACCGACGCTGCTTTGGATGCTTTATTATAATTTTCGGACGCTACATTTAACGACCTCGGCTTCGGTACACTCGATTCTGATATAGATACAGATCCATTTCTTAAAGATTCTCAAGAGAAACTTGTTTCAATTCAGCAAAGCGATGTATTTTATAATCTGAAAGCTTTTAAAGACGCAATACTTAATCAAGCTATTTACGAGCGATAAGAGCTTAAGTGTCCGAATAGCGAAAAGACTTATATGAGATACGTATGCTACTTTAACGATACATGCAAGTAGCGCGCTCGTTGCAATTAAGACGTTCGAACTGAAGAAGCTACGGTATCGGTGTAGTAAGGAAAACATATATGCTTTGATCGTGTTCGTTATACAAGACCGTTGGTTGCGCGGATAGCGTATCTTTTAGAATTGATTCTTAAGCTGATATCGAAAAAATTTTCTTGTATAGAGCAGCGAGTAGATTTGGCTAGGCGGGCCTACTTAAAAAGTGGGTTGAGGCATAGGAAATACAACTCCACTTTCTTCGAGGCATAGGAAATAATCGACCCTCAAAGGGTAACAATTACGCTTGTACCGTAGTGCATCGATATTACTACGTCCCAGGCGTAAGTATTACCCCTCGAGGGTAAGGTAAACCGGGGGGCTTGAAGTGGAAGCTAAACTTTTGAGGCACCCTCGAGGGGTAATACTTAAGGCCTGTACCGTGGTAATTGTCGAGATCATTCGAAGCCGGATCGGAGTCGCCTAATAGCCTTTTCGAAAGCGCAATATCGTAGATCGTCTTAAACCTTCTTTTATTTTTTAAACTTTACTCTTTTTCGATTGCACATCTTAGTATTTTCAATCGGTATGCCCGTTAAATATAAATCGTAATCGGCGCAATTAATGGTCGAGGTAAAAAGAGGCTCGTTCGGATCGCTAGGAACAGGAAATCTTTTCGAAACGCTATCTTGATTTAATTTCGGCTTTCTAAACTCTTTTTGCCGCAAAATAAAAAGTTGAAAGTTCGTAAAGGGCACCTCGTACAAGTAGAGAATCGTAGCCCCCCAAGTAGCTGGCTGCATCGCTTTAAAAGAAGCTATTATTATAGCTTATATAGCTACGAATATTACAACGCGAAGTCTCCGCAAGCTTCGGGGTGAGTTTTAGCTTGCGGCCGGGCTAATGCGTTACATTTTCTTTACATCCTTTAAAGGCGTAATAGTCAGTGCACTGACTTTGTGACCTGCGGGCTCTCGGTCACAGTCAAGACAAGCAAGTGTCCCAGGTCAAGCAAGTGTCCCATTTCAATTATTTCAACTTGTATTAGAAATAACTTAATAACGAATAAAGCTATGATATTAAAAATTTAATACTTTTTAAGAGCTCGATTCCGCCGATTAATGCGTTCAAATTTTATCAATATAGCTCTTTTTATTATCAAGTAATTTAAGTTGCAAATCGTAAAAAAAAAAAGGGTTTTTGATTCTTTATCGAAAAGAATCGAAAATCGCGATTTGTATTAAGAATAAGTCAATAACAAAAAAAGATACAACAATAAAAATTAGATATACGAATCGAGATAAGTGAATTATACTTTACTTACAAAACATATTATATATTTTTCATTATTAAAATAAGTAAAATAATATTTATTACGCAAAATTACAATTGTAACAGCGAAAAAAGCTCGGACAATTTAGCGAAAATTCAAGAACATCAACTTTTCGATTATATTTGTAACTTAAAAAAATAATAATTATAAAAGTTATAATAATGAAAGACAAATGGTACGAGTCCGCTTGATTAAGAGTTTTTTAAATATCAAATTTTTATATTAAAACTCAATTCAAAAGACGATTAATGTTAAAAAATATAAAATCCTTAATACAAAATATTTGATTTTCAATCAAATTCAATCGATAATCAAACATTATTTATTCTATTAATTATTAAATTGTTAATAAAAAGATTTTATACTTGGTTAGACTTTTAAAGATCTCGATTACGCCGATCTATGCATCTAGTTTTGAATATTATAGCAATATTCGTTGCTAAGTTATTCTTAATACAAGTTGAAATAATTGAAATGGGATACTTGCTTGACCTGGGACACTTGCTTGTCTTGACTGTGACCGAGAGCCCGCAGGTCATAAAGTCAGTGCACTGACTATTATTTCTTTTAGAAAATTAATGTAGGGTTAATGCGGAGGGCAGCCTTGCACTACGACCGGGGCGAACCGAGGTCCCCTGGCCCCGGAGCTTGCGGAGGGCCGCCAGGGATCAGACCTCGTATTATAATTGAAGTAATTAGCCCGTTAGTAATATTACAAAGAACTTGGTAAAGGGCTACGATTCTTTGCCTGTACGAAGTGCCCTTTACGAACCTTCAGCTCTTTCTTTTTCTTTCTCTTGCGGTAAAAAGAAAGATAAAAAATCTAAAAAGCTGAAATTAAATCATCGATTTGCGACGTCTTTTCGAAAAGATTTCTTTTATCGGCGATTTCGAACCTCCTTCTTCTTTCTTCTCGAATACTACGCCGATTACGATTTATACTTGACGGGCATACCGATTGAAAAGATTAAAAGGATTTGCGATAAAAAAAGAACGTATATAAAAGATAAGATAAGAAAGGCTTAGTTCGATTGATCAAAAACACGGTATTGCGCTTTCGAAAGAGCGTTTTGCAAATACACCGGCTTTATCTAAAAGCTACGAACGCGAGCCTTCTTAGCTTTACGACGAAAAAGAACGATGTTTGTATACGGATCGAGGCCGCCCGTAAAGCTATACGTATTCGACAGTTGTCGAAAGAAAACTCGACGCATAGCATTATAAATTGCTTTTAAAAAGTTTATAAGTGTTTAGCTATTTAATAAGAAGTTTTCTTTAACGTGGTTTTTACTTTCGATTAGATAATACTTTATATATAATTCTTTTATTTAGCACGTCGCCGTATTTTATAAAAGGTCTTTAAGGTCTAAGCATTGCGTTTTAAATACCCGCCCGACGTTAATAAATACAATAACAATAATAACAACAATAACAATAACAACAGAGAACTTGGTCCTCTGCCTGGTAATAGTTACATGTATCAGTTATCGAATACTAAAATGCACGTTTCGATTGCGATTCAAAGGTCTAAACCCTATATTTGAAAGTTATCCAACAGGCCTTGAGACAAGTGAAGCTTAGAAAGATCATAGGTCACCAAGATCATATGCATTAGAGATAGTCCGTGTAATAAAGAAAGTGCGTTCATTATCTTTTCAGTGCTTTTTGCCAGCATCTTTTCCTGGCTGACTATTAGATTTAGAAATTTATTTCTTTTGGGCCTTGGATAAAATACGGAGAATCGTGATCCTCTTCGATGCTTGATAGGTTTGAATGCATTAATCATCATCTAACTTTTCTTGCTTATTTATTAAGGATCAAGAAAGAAGGATTCGCAGCGAATTGTTATATATATATATGTATATATATACACATACTTATTTATTTTACGGAACTAAAGATCACCTAAATCCAATACTAGCACTCTTAAAAATTTCGAATCTCAAAATTAATTAAGCTTAATTACTGATTCCTGAACATGCTGTATTATTATCAGTTGCACAGGCAAGGCTGGCGTGCAGAGTGTAGCCAAGTGACCTAGAAACCCGATGCATGCATGCATTCCCACAATTATTATATTACAATTCCCAAAAGCACTCCTTGCTTGTGGAGAACGCTTCTGGGTCTCAGGCGGCAGGCTTTGGCTGGTCTTGCATCCCCCCTCGACGCTTTTGCTTCCGCTTGCGTAAATAGCTTTCTCGTTGACGCGCAGATACCTATCGTAGTCATGACATGGCTCGACCAGATAGGTGTTTCGACCTGTGTTATATTATACGTTACGGATTAATCAACTTTTCTCTCCATTGAATGTCACCGCTAGAAGTCTTTACAAAGTGAATAGATAGGCTTCTTCTCCACATTATTTTTCGTCAACGTTTTGCCTACTATATCTAAATAGCGCGCACCACTTGCTTACTTACTTATCGTCGACCCCTTTCTTTCCCTCTCGGCTTGTGAAATCTTTCTAGAGATGAGGATCATTGATTTTTTGTTACCATGGTTTGTATTGTAAACAGTGAATCTGGGATATTTGTCATGTTATGGACGGTAGTAGTTGCTTTAGCTCTGTTTATTCGGTACTCGTGCGGCCAGCATATCTGTCCCCATGCGTTGATCTTTTTGAACTTGGGGAAAGCGTTTGCAACGCTCTGTATGGTTGGCTACGCCAAAAATTAATACATTTAGCTCTACATTTTAGATGATTTTAAAGATGGGGACAGAGATGCTGGCCGCACGAGTAGGGTACGTGGAGAAATGCGATCCAGATCATTGGTATATTCTGACCCACTATAAATGATCGAGTGCGAAATACTGAACATTTCCATATGTTGAGGTTTAGTCGGGGATCAGATGACGAGCCTAGGTAGCCTAGAGTGATGGGACGTGGTCTGGAATTAAGGCATTTAGGCGGTAGCGTTTCGTGCTTGCCTGTGATTTCGACAACGTTAGACGTCATGGAATTCTTTTATCTTTACCGTTCTCTCTATAGTATTATGTGTAATAGCCTGAAAGCGAAGCGTAGCACTGTTTTATTTAGGCCATGATCATAGTAACTAGGATACGTAAGCATTATACATTCGAAGCTACACATAATGACAACTCCATCCTCTGCGGGACTACGTACATCTAGGCTGCGTCTGGTTCACTTTCGCCCGGCACACACCACTACGTACTCCCTACATTATCTCCTCGCTCTACTGAAGACTAGACGACCTTTTTTCATGTGGAGATCATGTCCTTGCTCCACCAAATACCTAGGTACTAAAGACGTTTTAGGGCCTCAGATAGCTTGTACATGTGATAAGTATGAGAAATGAGACATGAATGAGTTGCCTTCCATTGGATTTCCCTGTCCCTGCGCGACATCTTAACGATCGCGAGGTTGTTAAGGGGCGTGCAAAGGGTAGGTATAGTGAAGCTGGGCCCCTGCTACACAAGCGGCTCTGGCAGAACCGTTCAAGTGGTCTAGGTTAGGAAGATTTAGCTCCCCGGTGAGATATTCTGGGCTCCAAAGCGCATAATATCTATTATTGTGGAAAAAAGGGGTGATCGTGGTGTCTGCCTGCGGATACCTACCTTGGTAAATACACTCTGAGGAAGTAGATAGAATAATTAGGGTCCATTTTCAAGCTTGTGTTGGAAACGTCACTCGCTTAATTTTCTGTCAAATGTCAATACGAAAAGAAGGAAGATATTTTCTTAAGGGAAAGTTCGATTGGGATTAGCGCTATGTGTGAGGGTTGTAGATATTCGCTTACTGTTCTGAGGTAATCAACAACAACCGCTCCTACCTAGTAATCCACTCGGTCCATGTTTGTGATAGTGAGTTCGAGACCAAGTGCCGACGCCGTTGCTAGTCGCCTCAATGCTCAAAAGTTTTTCGTGTGTTCGTAGTCGGAAGGTACGATTAGGAATAACCCAGGTGTATGACTATGCGTGTACCTGAAATGACGAGGAGTGGTAGAGAATCACCCAATGATGATAGAAAAACCGACCCTACGATGCTAGAGAATCCATGTTCTTTTCGGGTGGGAAAGTACGATTAGGACTGGCGAAGGTGTTTTTAGTCTGAGCAGAAGCCTCGTTTTTCAATCCACACTTCATTCTTCAATCCAACTTCTTCTAGCCGACTCTATCTCTCGTTACTCATTGGCACTCCGGAGACCAAGGTAATGACCACGGGCAACACAAACGCGACGAGACCCACACTGAGATCTCACTATGGGACAAATATCGGCCTTCTATTCGTAGAAGCAAACCCAGGTTTCTTCATTTCAGCCAGTGATGACGAAGATATTGACCTCGTTACTTCAATGGTTTGCATCAAGGGCTATGATTATTCTGCCGCTGAGCAGGCGTGGGGGAGTATAAGAACCCAGCCCTTTTCACCCAGCATTCACACGGCGGCGTCTGGGAGTCAGGGTCGGGAGGCATGCGTCTGTGACGAGATTTGGATGGCATAGGACTGGTGAGGGTGGGTTGATAGTTGCTGGGTATTCGGTGGTATCTTTGGCGTTGATGGTCATGTGTTCTGGAAAGTTGGGCACCTCTACTGGTGTCATGTACTGTAGAGTAATAAAACGTGTGTTTCATAATCATTCATTCCCCTGCAGTGGAGTGACAGATTTTCGATTTCCATAGCAAGCGTGCGCATCTGATTATAATCAGTGACCAATCTGGTGGCGAGACTGGCGACTTTTCCGTACAACACCAGGCGGGCCTGCGTTTTCACCATCATCTCGGTGGTAGCAAAAGATGCTTCGCTCACTTATCCGCTCAGCTGTCGACAGGAGCGCGTGGCTTTTCCATTCCGGCGCCCATCTGCTTGCTTACGGCTGTTCATACCAGGAATCTCGTCCCGTCTCTACGTTTTTGCCGTCGTCTGCGCATGCATCTAGATTCAGTCCCAACCGGATAAAATGGTTGCGTCTCGTTCGTTCGTCCGGGCCGTGTGTGTGTGTTTTTATTCCCTCCCGGGGGGACTGCAGACAAAAAGTTTTCTAGTAGGCATCGGAGATGATCAAAGCGAGCTTGCGAAGCTTTGTGTTACCGGAGAGCTCCTTCCCCTATAAGGGGGAATGTGGCCTCATGAAAAAATGCAAATAACCTTTTTTAGCGAATGGAACTGATTGGTCAGTTAAAAAGTGCGCGTGGTGACGGGAGGCAGAATCCCAAAATGGCAGACAACGTGATTGAAGTACCGGTACTAACAATTGGAGACTAAAGATTTCGAATTTCAAATCATTCAAACAAACACGCCTCTTCAATTTCTGTGAACTCTCGATGGCGCGTATATACCTTGGTAGGTGCACTCCCAAGCTCGCTTTGATGTTACGTAAGCTGCTTGCCATTTACGTCAACTTACTTGATATGTACCGCCAATGGGTGAGGGTGGCTTGTTATTTTTCCTTTCTTTTTTCCTTTTTCTTTACTTTCGCTCTCGATGACTGGATGGATCTGTCTGATTGGAGGCCACGCCGTCGTCTGTTCGTTTTGGGTTTGGGTCACATTTTTCGGCTCTGATCCATGGAATAGCGGAGGTCTACCAATTAGCGGCCTGGGGTTATGCTGGGGAACCCGCTGTCGTGGAGAAGCGGGGAGAGGGAGAAAGAGAGAGATAGATTTATATATATATATATACAGGTATATAAACCCAAATGCATCTCTATATTGTCTCATCTCCACCAATGACAAAGAGAGCATTTCGTGGAAAGACGATCCATTTACCCACGACGCCATATAGATATGTTCCTCCGGCTAATATCAGCGCAGGATATGTGTGGCTGGCACGAACCAGCCCGCGTGTGGAACAATATGGAGATTCATCTGCGGATAGTAATACCAAGGCTATAACGCTTAATTGCACGAAGCTTTACTCCCCCAAAGTCAAATTCCCCCAGCTTCGATACAAACAAGCCTTCTCGCTTGCCCGCTTAGCGAGTCTCGGCCGGGCTGGGCCTTCAATGATATATGTATATATATATATATATACACACATACATACATATATATGTCTACTCGATATCATGCGGAATATGGTGGCACCAGCCTCGGTTCTGTGCGACACGATATAAAATGAGACGCATGGGAAAGACCTCATGGCTGGTCGGTAACTGACAGATCCTGGCTGCATCCGGATAATATCAAAATCATCCAGAATATATACTGAACGACTACCACGATGACAAGGGGGCCTAATTGGTGAAGAAAGGTGAAAAGAAGGAAAGAAAGAACCCCCCCCTTCTTCTCCGATGCAGACGAGACTATAAAGCAGACGGATCCCCCAACGAAGCGAACTTTCACTCTTTGTTCTCGGAGCATCCTCCTGTTACGTGGAACAGCCAGTATCTGATCAATCTCACCACCACCACACACCGTCAAGATGCCCAAGTTCTATACTGCATCCAAGGCCACGTTTGAAGTGGGCGGCCATGAGTTCCCTCGCATCACTTGGTATAAGGAGCCTGGTATGCGAGGCCTATACATCCTGTACGTTGAGGCGCGGCCATTTCAATCGCGAATGACACCGACTGACGAACTGGTAGCCTAATGTTCGCTGTCCTCACTTCGGCCACCAATGGCTACGATGGTTCCATGATGAACGGCCTTCAATCGCTTCCTTATTGGATTTCATGTACAGTTTCTTCCCACCAGCATAGCGAGTATATCTACTTATAGATGCTAGCTTTCGACGATCCGAGTCCTGCGACCCGAGGGCTGTTAAACGCCATCATGTCTGTCGGTTCCATCGTGGCGCTTCCCATAACACCATATATTGCAGACATCGGAGGTAGACGCGCTGGTATCATGACCGGCTGCGTTATCATGATCATTGGTGTCGTCTTGCAGTCCATTGGTGTGAACATAGGGATGTTCATTGCCTCACGCTTCCTTATAGGTTTTGGAGTCGCAATTGCTCAGTAAGTTGTGGGAGGGCCCGGCTCTTTTCGTATGAAGCCTTTGTCCTTCTCCCGGAAGCTTAGCCATGAGCCACGGACTGACTCCCTCGTCTCCTACAGTGGTGCGGCACCTCTTCTGATTGCCGAGTTGGTACATCCACAACATCGCGCGATCTTCACGACGATCTACAACAGTACCTGGTACTTGGGGTCCATTATTGCGGCCTGGCTGACCTATGGTGTGTGACCCTCGCCTCGCAAGAAATGGCCAGATGCTGATTACCTACCAGGAACCAAGAACATAGACTCCGCATGGTCCTGGCGAGTACCTTCCATGGCTCAGGCACTCCCTTCAGTCATCCAGCTCATTGCAATTTGGATGGTCCCAGAGTCACCGCGCTACCTGATCTCCCGAGGACACAACGAGAAGGCGCTTCAAATCCTCGCCACAGTCCACGCGCGTGGGAACGCCGAAGATGAACTGGTCCAGGTAGAGTATCACGAGATCCGCGAGACCATTGCGCTCGAGAAAGAATTCGAGGGCAACGGCTGGATGGAACTGTTCAAGACGATCGGCAACCGTCGCCGGCTCATCATCCTCGTCTCCCTCGGTTTCTTCTCGCAGTGGTCGGGCAACGGACTGGTCTCGTACTACATGAACGATGTTCTCACGGCGGCAGGCGTCGCATCGAGCGACATGCGCCTCCTGATCAACGGCATCCTCAACATCATCAACTTCATCGTGGCGCTGGGCATGTGCTTCGTGATTGACAAGTTTGGCCGTCGGCCCCTGTTCCTCCTCGCCACCGGCGGCATGCTGGGCTCCTTCGTCTTCTGGACCATCTGCGCCGCTCAGTTCGTCAAGACGAAGGTCAAGATGGCCGCCAACGCCGAGATCGCCTTCATCTTCATCTACTACGTCTTCTACAACTGCGCCTGGTCCGGTCTCCTCGTGGGCTACGCCGTCGAGATCCTCCCCTACAAGCTCCGCGCAAAGGTAAGCCAGCCAGCCAGCTAGCTAGCTAGCTAGCTCTCCCCGACCCATTCATTCGTTATCCCCACTCTCGCAGCAGTAGTAAAGCAAAGCAAAGTAGAGCAAAACCAAAACCGCTAACATATTTCTTTCCCCCCTAAAGGGTCTCACCATCATGTTCCTCGCCGTGGACCTCGCCCTCTTCTTCAACTCCTACGTCAACCCGGTCGCGCTCGACTCCCTCGGCTGGAAGTACTACATCGTCTACGACTGCTGGCTCGCCTTCGAGCTGGCCGTCGTCTACCTCTTCTACATCGAGACGCAGAACACCGTGCTCGAGGAGATCGTCAAGTACTTTGACGGCGACGCAGCCCTGCTAGGCGGCGGCGGCGTTGTGGCGACCGAGAAGGCTCGCGTGCTGCTCGCCGATCAGCAGCAGTCGTCGTCGAAGACGATGATGGCCCGGAATCGTCCTCTCGGAGGAGGAGGCGATGGAGAATTCTCTAAGGCCCCGGCCGTCACGGCGGAGCACCACGAGGTCCGCGCGGATGTCTCCCCTGCTACCAGCGAGCGGGCGAGATAGGATGTAATGTTTAGTCTTAAGGGGGGACGTGGTGGAGGCGTTGAACTTGACGTATGCATGCGGAACGGTGCATGGAGGAGACTGGTCATATACAGTGCTAGCTTTCATAATTTGTATTATACTATACGGAAGTCATTGTATTGAATCAAATCATGAGTATCCTTCCTTCCTCTTTTCGTTTTCAAAATAAATATCATCTTCTTAAGAAGAGAACCTGCACGGTTAATTTAATTCTCCAAGACGCCAGCTAGCTAGCCCGCTCTGTCGCTAATCTCTCTCCCTTCCCTACGTGTTTTTCGACCTCCTGTAAGAAGAATTTTCTGCTTAGATAGGGAATCTGATTTGATTACGGAGAGAGTTTATAAAAGGAAGGGAGATCTTGTGTTAAGTAGAACCGAATAGGACTGGATAGAATGGGACAGCATAGGATAAGATCTGTAGTATAGTATAGTTAAAGCCTTATTCGTAAGCTTTACGCGCTTTATAGACCTTTTCACTTCAACGGCTAGCTTTTCCAGCTTAACGTCCATTTACTACGTATTATTATTCACATGGAGAGGGGAAGGACTATATGCAAAGCAAAAAGAGGGCCCAATCGAGTGAAGAGTCTCCGTAGTCGAGCCTAAAAACAGCCTTTACTTAATCCGACCGACCCCCTTTGGAAAAGAGGCGAGCAAACCGTTGTAAAGACTGAGGGACCTTTTTGCATATTCCTTTTTGAAAAGACGTTTCGTAAGCGTGGCTAAGAGCATCCCTTCAAGCCTTTGGCTTTCAACCGAACCACCTGTAACAAGCGTGCTAAAAGCGTTCCTGCAAGCCTCTTATGTCTAATCGCTGCCTCCCCTTCATCGCAGTGGGCGTGCTTAAACATCCAAAGGGTGATGGAAACTCGAGATGTGCGCATACGGTAGTCCTCGGGGCATATATGTATTAAAGGGAACGAGCGAGCGGACAAGCTGGCAGACTTCAGAGCAAGGAAGCTGGACTAGGACATTGGTTTTATTGCGCAACTTATTATAAATGATATTCGCATACTCTTTCGCGATAGACGAAATAAGGCGCGAGAAAACTGATAGAGCGCAAGCTCTACGAAGCTCTTTCGCTCATATCGGAAATAAGGTTTTCCGTACTTGATCAAACCCCTTTCGGAGCTAACGCTTTTACGATATATCTTATATACTTCGTACTATAGGTAAATAATGTAAAATTTTAGTTTGTGCACACTAGATACTTGGTAATGCTGCTTAGATTGTTATCGTTATATTGTTAGTAGTACCCTTTGCATAAGAGCCTTGTCAACGGAAACCTTTAGAATTGCGCTCAGATAGCATTTGTACATTATTTCGGGCTTGTACCAAGTAGTAGTACAGTACGTAGTAAGATGCTCGCGATACGGACTAATAGTCAGTGCACTGACTTTGTAACCTGCGGGCTCTCGGTCATGGTCAAGGCAAGCAAGTGTCCCAGGTCAAGCAAGTGTCCCATTTTAATTATTTCAACTTGTATTAGAAATAACTTAGCAACGAACAAAGCTATGATATTAAAAATTTACTACTTTCAAAGAGCTCGATTCCGCCGATTAATGCATTCAATTTTTATCACTATAGCTCTTTTTATTATTAAGTTATTTAAGTTGCAAATCATAAAAAAAAAGGGTTTCTTGATTTTTTGTCGAAAAGAATCGAAAATCGCGATTTGTATTAAGAATAAGTCAATAAAGAAAAAAGCTATAACAATAAAAATTAGATATTCGAATCGAGGTAAGTGAATTATATTCTAATTGTAAGAAATGTTAAATATTTCTATTATTCAAATAAGTAAAATAATACTTATTGCTCAAAAATTACAATTGTAAAAGCGAAAAAAGCTGGGACGATTAAGCGAAAATTCAAGAACATCAACATTTCGATTATATTTATAACTTAAATAAAATAATAATTATAAAAGCTATAATAATAAAAGAAAATTGCACGAGTCCGCTTGATCAGAGTTTTCTAAATATCAAATTTTTATATTAGAATTCAGTATAAGATACGATTAATATTGAAAGATATAAAATTTTCAATATAAAATATTTGATTTTCAATCAAATTCAACCGGTAATCAAATATTATTTACTTTATTAATTATTAAATTGTTGATAAAACGATTTTATACTTGGTTAGGCTTTTAAAGATCTCGATTACGCCGATCTATGCATTTAGTTTTAAATATTATAGCATTATTCGTTGCTAAGTTATCTCTAATACAAGTTGAAATAATTGAAATGGGACGCTTGCTTGACCTGGGATATTAATAGTCAGTGCCCTGACTTTTTACTTGCGGGCTCTCGGTAACAGTCAAGATAAGCAAGTATCCCAGGTCAAGCAAGTGTCCTATTTCACTTACTACTATGATTGCTTCCATTTTATTTATGATTGCGTTATTGATTTATTCGAAATTGCGAATCGCATCAATTCTAGCTGATATTTTAATATTCCGCAGCTAATAATCGATAAAGCTGCAAGCTTGCTACGAGTTTTCATTTTTTTTTTTAAAAAAAACCAATCTCTTACGCAATATATATTATAATAATTAATAGTCTAATAGAAGATCGTGCCGCCGATACGTAGATGTAGCTTTATTATTCTAGCTTATTGCGTTGTAAAGTTATTCACGATACAAACCGTGATACTTCTATGTACGTCCCAGGCGTAAGTATTTACCCCTTGAGGTAAGGTAACCAGGGGGTTTAGGAAACTTAACTTTGGAGGCACCCTTAAAGGGTAAGACTTAGTTAGGCCTGTACCGTGGTATTTAATGATTTTCAACTCGATTTTACACACTTTTTTAAATAGGATACTTGCTTGACCGAAAAAACTTGCTTATCTTGACTGTTACTAAGAGCCCGCAGGTAAAAATTCAGCGCACTAACTATTACGCACGGAGACATTATTTAGTATTATATTAAGTTTTAGCATTACGACCCCAATTAAGGATACTGTATGCTTGCGGCAAACGCAAGTCCTTTTTTGCATTTCGCTTCTTGTCGTCTGATACGACGGCGCTTCTTTTCTTTCTTAGCTAAAAGAAACTCGACCACGGACTTTATCAAGTACGATCTCGAAAGCTTACGATTTTTTTGAAAAGCTTTCTTTAGCAATCCGGCCGACTTTGAAGCCTTCTTGATTACGACGGCGTTTTGCTCTAAGCATTGCATTCGATAAGGGTGCTACTTTAGCTAATTAATACTGCTTCGATGAAAGGAACGGGGTACGCTCCGCCTTACTCTCCCCCCCTCTTATGAATACATATCGAAAGTATAATTTCGCAAGGGATCTTACTAAGGCTTAAACCAATCAACTTATGAGAATGCAGCCTTATGAAGTATATTTAGGTCAGTCTTTAGTACGTAGTACGTGCAATAGAATTGATAAAGCTTTAAGCCATTCGGAAACCACCGCTTTATAATTCCTGGGTTTAAACCGGGTCCGAAATATATTTATAAAAAGAAAGAATATAATTATTATAATTATGCGTAGTATTTATTTACGTCGAGCGGGTAGCAAGCGAAGCTTGCCGCCCTAGGACCTCGAATAAGGTACGGCGACGTGCTAAGCTAAGGAGTTACGTAATATATACAGAAAGGCCCCAGAAAGCAATTCAAGGTGTTGCAGCGAGAGCTGCTATCTTCTGCGCCCTTCCCCACGCTCCGCCTTATAAAAGCTATGAACGCTTATTACTACGTCTTAGGCGTAAGAATTACACCTCGAGGGTAAGTAACTAAAGGGTTTAAAATGAAAACTAAACTTTTAAGGGACTCTCGAGGGGTAATACTACTACTACTACTACTACTACTCTCCCCCCCCATGAATAAATGTCGAAAGTATAACTTCGCAAGAGATCTTACTAAGGCTTAAACCAATCAACTTATAAGGATTCAGCTTTGAAAAGTATCTTTGAGCCAGTATTTAGTCTATATAATGGAGTTTACAGGGCTTTGAGCCATTAAGAAGCCACCGCTCTATGATTTATGGGCCTAAACTAGGACCGATATTTATTCATAAGGGGGGAGAGTACGTACTTAAGCTTGTACCGTGGTAAATGCACGACGAGATAAGGGCTCCGAAGCAACGTACTACGTAATACGCTTTCGAAAGAACTTCTTTTGATACTATTATATAATATGAAGTTTTCCTTTCAAGTTTAAGCATTTTATCTTAAGTTTTCTTTCGCATTAAGAAATGCTTTTCGGCTGATCTCGGTCCGGCCTTGATACTGGTCGTTATGCGACTCGCACAAGCATGCTACGTATAAGCTACTAGCTACAGCAGTTTGTACGTAGTATTTGCTTTATTTTCTTTTTTAGTTTTTCTTTTAATAAGAAATTATTTTTTATGATGAATCATCTTACGTAGTATTCGTATTCTCCTCCTTCCTTTATGAATACATATCGAAAGTATAATTTCGCAAAGGATCTTACCAGGGCTTAAACCAATCAACTTATCAAAGTTCAGCCTTGTGAAGTATATTTAGGTCAGTCTTTAGTATATGCAATAGAATTGACAAGGCTTTGAGCCATTCAGAAACCACCGCTTTATAATTCCTGGCCTTAAACTGGGTTCGACAGATATTCATAAGAAAGGAACGTATTATTATTGTTATTATACGTAGTATTTATTTACGTCGGGCGGGTAGCAAGCGAAGCCTGCCGCCCTAGGACCTCCTATAAGGTACGGCGACATGCTAAGCTAAGGAGCTACACACAAGAAGGCCCTGGGGAGCAATTCAAGGTGTTGCAGCGACAGCTGCTATCATCTGCACCTTTCCCCACGCTCCGCCTTGTAAAAGCTATAAAGGCCTGTTAAATGTACGTAGTGCTACGTACGACGAGATAAAGACTCCGAAGCAACGTAATAGGCTTTCGAGAGAACTTCTTTTAATACTATTATCTAATATGAAGTTTTCCTTTCAAGTTTAAGCATTTGATCTTAGGTTTTCTTTCGCATTAGTACTACGTAGTACAAAAAGGCCTTAGAAAGCCAATGGAAAGTGTTATAGCGAAAGCTATTATCGTTTACGCTTTTTTTTTACTCCCCCCCCCTCCACCTCCCTTATGAATACATATCGGACCCAGTTTAAGCCCACAAATCTTAGAGCGGTGGTTTCTGAATGGCTCAAAGCCTTATCAATTCTATTGCACACGCTACGTAAAGACTGACCTAAATATACTTTATAAGGCTGAATTATTATACGTACTACTACGTACGTACTACAGCAGTAAGTTGAATGGTGTAAGCCCTGGTAAGATCCCTTGCGAAATCATACTTTCGATATGTACAATAGTATTCCTGAGGAGGGGGGGGGGAGAGTACGAGTAAGATGATTTATCATGAAGAAGAATTTCTTGTTAAAAGAAAAACTGTAAAAGAAGATCAAGCAAATACGTACAAACTGCTATAGCGAGCTTATAGCATCGTTGTGCGAGTCGCATAACGGCCAGTATTGAGGCCGGACCGAGGTTCGCCGAAAAGCATTTACTACGTATATACGTACTAACTCATCAGCTTAGCACATCGCCGTACCCTATGGGAAAGGTCTTAAAGCAGCAAGCTTCGCTAGCCATCCACCCGACGTAAACAAATAGAATGACAACAACAACAACAACAAAATATCGAATCGCTTTTCCTATACGAGTAATATAATCACAAGACGGAAATGTTAAGCCAAGGTAGTTTGAACACATGATTTGTCCTCTGCGGTATCACGTCGTCTACTCCGTAAATAACATTCTATCCAGTCCCGCACTTCCCTCACTCGCACGCTCCATCCAGCTTCCCGCCTCCAGGTCTGCGCACGCGAGCTCCGAGCACGAGCGACCCCGACCAACACATACTACTTACTACATACGCTTCACCGGACCACGCTCTGGGGCGCCTGAAGAGCGCCAGGTGCAAGTGCGATGGGTATAGCAACGCAGAAGCGAGCTCCTTCTTCTATCCCCTCCTCCATCCTCACCTTCGCATCCTACTTATCGCTCGAGATCCTTATAGCCGTGCTTTCGATCTCGTGCCGGGCAGTTAGCTATCTAGGTAGCTACCACCCAATCCTCGCTTACTTCCACTCTGTTTTGTAGAGTCCATACTCCTCCATACGAATAGTAGAGAGTTGCGCTGCTCCGGGTTCTAGCTTATGAGTGTCAGCGCTATACTTACCTTCTTTACGCACATACACATACATACACACACAACTTCGTAGCTATGCAGAGTGAGAAATGAATCTGAACTATTTCACGCTCCCTCTCTCCCTCTCTCCCTCTCTCCCTCTCTCCTCCGTCCGCCACGTAACAGAAAGGAAACACGTGAATAAACCACCAATCCCGGAAACCATGCCATGCAATATGCATCACCGCGGGTCTCCATTTTGTAGAAGCACAAGTACCAGCCACGTACTACTAAGAGCGAGGCCCTGCATTCGCCCCTGATGGCTCTGGCTTGGGACATCACTTGGCTTGAGCGATATGGAAGGAGCTGCGTGTGTGTCTGTGTGTGTGCAATCGGTGCGGCCGTTCCGTCGACGGGAGAGCTAAAGGGGAAATACTACTACTAGTGGATGCTTGAAAGCCAAGGGGAGGGGAGCCTTTCGCTCGAAGGAGAAGGTACGAAGGCCAGGGCGGAGGGAACTTTGGTAAAGCCGAGGGGAACCGCGTCGATAGGAGGAGGTCAGAGCCCGACGGTGAAGTGCAGCCGGATAGCCTGCGGTCGGTCAAGAGGATAGGGTTAGACGTAGCACTGACTGGAAACTGCAATGTGTCATTGCAGGTCTATCTGCTTTTGCATGACAACGTTTCATACAGCGTGCCTACCGTATACATACGACTGTGTTATTTGGGATCTGGTTTACGTTTGGAATTATGACTTTATATATGTATATGTGTAGATATGCCGGCTTAAGCAGTTGATTAGTTATAATAAGAGGAGACATACTGGAGGAGACATATTGGAAAAGACATTTTGGAGGCGGTGGCTTCTCTCCGCAGTCGGAAAGGAGCTGCGTGGGTTTGAGTTAGTTAAGAATCAGAGCCGATGCAAATAGTAGTAGAAGTGGGAGCTGATTACCGATCTCGGCTGCTGACCGGGACCGACGCCGGCCTTTGGATTCGGTTGAGAAATCAAGGGTCAGGGCGATGGACACATAGAGCAGACCCATTGTGGGGAGAGATAAGCGTTGAGAGGACCCTGCGACGCTGAAGAGGGAAAGCATAGACGTAGTAGTACGTAGTACTAGTACAAGTACGGAGTAGGAAGTGATGGCCTCCTGCAGTTGAGATCCCGGTACCGACCCAGCTGAAGAATCGGCCGGAAGTCGGCCCCCCCCCTAGTGTAGGTACGGGTCGTTGACGGTTGGGGTCGGGTATGGGATACTTGGTAGGTACTGCACGTACTGCACGTACTGCACGTACTGCACGTACCCCCACACTTCACCTACCCCATCTATTCCACCCCAGTTCCACCCCCCGTTCCACCCCCCGTTCCACCCCCGCGCGCGTGCGGCTAAACTCTCCTTCCCCTGAAGTCTACCTAATCGAGAGTTCACCGCCGCTTCGGCGTCTGCTGACCGGTCCCAAGAGATGCCGTCCAGTGAAGGCCAGGTGTCGATGTTGATTTCCTCCGGGCCGACATCGATTCTTTCAAGTTGCCCTGCCCTGCCCTGCCCTGGCAATATGCAAATCGCAAATCGCATCGCGGAACCAGGAGCGGGTATGTACCCCGAAAGCCCCATCCCATCATCCCGATCGGATGTATTCCCCAGCTATATATATGTATATAGGTATATATATATATATATATATATATATATCATCAGGCCGTCAAGCCTTCTCTTCCCTATTTTCTTCGGGTTCCATCGATTCGAATAATATTTCACGGCTTCCGAAGTAGCACAAGCCTTGTTTGCAACAGCCTCTTTGACCACGAAATCTCAACCCTTTATATTTGTACCTCTGCCGAAGATGATTACGGATGCTCTGGTAGTACAGGAGCCGGGAGCGGCGTGGATCCACCAGCAAATCACCATTGAAGACAGTCTCCGAGACGATGAGGTGCTGGTGGAAATCAAAGCGACGGGCGTTTGCCATACGGATCTCAACTTCGCGGCCGAGAAGACGATGCCGGGCCTCTTTCCGGGGGTGTTTGGCCACGAAGGTAAAAAGACCGAAAGAGAGAAAGGGGGAGCCATGCCCTGCGCGACCAGTGTTCGCAAGACGACTTCCTTGTTCCTTGAGGGCACTTGGATATGTCGGAGAAATAATCGATCGTTGATCATCGAAATGATGCTGACTTGAGACGCAGGAGGAGGGATCGTTGTCAAGACCGGCCGAAAGGTCACGTCGACGTCGCCTGGGGACCACGTGATCCTGGCCTACGCCTGCTGCGGCGACTGCAAGTACTGCAGTAGCCACGCGAGCTCCTACTGCTACGACTTTGAGAGGGCCAACTTGGGGGTAGGCAGAGCCGATGGCTCCAAGGCCTACGCCGGCGCGGACGGACGTCGCATCAACTCGCACTTCTTCGGCCAGAGCTCGTTCGCAAAGTTCGCCATCGTGATGGCGACGTGTGTGGTCAAGGTCGATCCAAGCTTGCCGTTGGAAGACCTGGCACCGCTGTCGTGCGGGTTTCTGACTGGGGCTGGAGGTGAGCTTTCTCCCCCTTTCCCCCCCCCCCCCCC